CGATCAATCAAAACATCAGAATATAAAAAAAAGTACAAAGACGACCTCACACACACTCATGCATTTTGTGTACATACAACTACGGAGTATATAATATTATAGCAATACAAACTCAAACACTAACAATCTCACGTACACAAAATTTCCTAGCTATATTAAGACTGTACCTTATTTAATTCAATAAATGACACCAATGGCAATAATAGGTATAGCCAGAGCAAACAAAGTGGTGACAACTCTTATGGGAGCAGAGCTAGGAGACACCGGAGGTGACACATCATTAGGTGTTCCATTGGGTGATGGAGAAGCTCCGGGCGAGCTGGCCACTGCAGGTGGGCCCACACTGACTCCGCTAGGGCCAGGAGTTGGAGTTTTCAAAGAATTAGGTGTTGGTGTTGGGCTTGACGATGCTGGACTCAGAGCTTGAGTTGGGGTTGGGCTCAGACTCTTTGTTGGAGTTGGGCTTGACTTTGGGCTTCCTATTGTGATTGGAGCTGGAGACGAGCTTGATTTTGGGGTTGGGCTTGGAAGTGGTGGTGTTGTTGGGCTTGACCTTGAACTTCTTGTTGGTGTTGACAACACTTTTACTCTTTGTCACTTTTGCTACATCATGGAATCCGGTTGCAAAGTTGAACACTTCAACATAACAATCAAAGCAAAAGAATTAATAGAATGGAATTACAAATCAAACGCCATCAATAAATCTATTTGGAGGTAGTTTTAATTTCTAAAGTTGAAGGCACTATTTTTAATTTTCCATCAATTTTTTTGTTTCAATTTTAAGGCATGGCCGCAAACACATTTTGGTTTGCATCTATACTCGTCATGAAAGTATGAAACATACTCGTATTTAATAAGATACCCCTAAATAATACTCTGGGTATTAGTATATTACTCCCTCAGTGGCTCCATTGCCAAGAGAAATAATGGATCATTTCACACAATTTTAAAAAAGTATTGGAAGGTGACATTCTAAAAAAAGTTAATTTTAGGACATTTCGAAAAGCATCATATTACTTTAATTTAAAGACAAAAAGTATGAAAAAAGTATTTGTATTTGTTAAATCAAAACCTTACACATATTACATATATAATATTTTTTTAAAAACTAATGTACTCCGTAATTACAATCAGGTTTGAATAACAATATTCACCCATATACAAGGCCGGCCTAAAGGATGAATATGAGGTGCACTCTCAAAAGGTCCTAAATAACATAGACACAATAATTCTAAACAAAGTAAAGTTTAATACTCCCTCCGTCCCAATTTAAATCATCTGTTTTGATTTTTGGGCATATTTAAGGAAAATAAAAAATAGAGTTGATTTTTCGAAATTGAGATTACTTTTTAAGAGGGGTGATGATGAATGAGAAGATAAGGTGAAAAAGAGTGACTTATTTAAAAACAACTAACAGGCAATTTATTTTGGGACGGAGAAAAAAGGTAAACTGGCAATTTAAAATGGGACGGAGGGAGTACATTGGAGTGATATGTACGCATCCGTTCTAGAATATTTGTCTGCTTTTAACCTTTTCAAGAAAAATTGGTAAACTTTGACTCCAACTTAAATAAAAATGATACTCAGTATTAGATATTCATACAAAAATAGTTTTATTAGATTTATCATATAAGATATTTTCAAAATATTGTTTTATCTAAATAATATACAATATACTACCTCTGTCCCAGAGTATTTGTCCACTTTCATTTTTACACACCATCCAATACACTTCTTTAGTCCATTTTATCTTGTAATTTGTATATTAAAAAATTATAGAAATTATATATTAATAATCTATATGTTAAGATAAATCAAACAAGATCACACATGACTATATTTAGGCTTATACATTGAGAGATTTTGATGAGTCAAAGTACTTAGATGAATAGTTCCAAAAGTCAAAACTGGACGAATACTCCAGGATGGAGGGAGTATATTATATTTAATTATAAGTCAATGCTTGAAAACGGCTGAATGAAAAAAGTCAAAATCAGATAAATACTCTGAAACGGAGGTTGTGTGGTTTGCTAAATATACATTGTTACCTTCTATGCCTTTTGAAATTTATTGTGTCGGTGAACATTGCGAAGTTGGTAAAGGCAAGAAATGCCAAAGAGATAATTATGCTGAAAGGCAACTATACTAAAAATAAAGCTTCTGCAAGTACTAAATACAGGTTTCATCTTTTGCGATATCATCATTCAAAATCTAATTTACCCTCTTTTTAGTGACTGTCTAGCAAAGAGTTTGAGGAGGCCTTCGAAGATTAGACTCGTCTATCTCTGTAAGTGGGTAAATATCATTTCTCTTAAATATTGATTTGTTTTGTCCAATTTACACTCATATCGTATATTTTAAAACAGTTTTTATATAAATTAAATTGAAAAAAACATTTTTACCCGCAAGTCAAACATGTTTGGTACACATGATGTTTAGATACACAAGTTTACCAGATGAGGGATATTGATATAGGATTTAAATATAAATTATATTAAAATTAACTTGATTTAAACATAAAAAAAGGTGAGAATTAACAATCACGCTAGGAGACACTCCTCCTTCAAGAAGTGTTCCCCAAAATTTACACCAATATACTAGCATGTTGATGATTCACACTGACACTAAATATTGGTACAATAAAAAAATTTATAATAACATTTTGTGTTTTTGTGAAGCACAAGTGTACAAATATAGAAGGGAGTTGGTATATAGTACATCCGGATATACCTACAAATAGGTACATCCTGGTAATACACATTCTGAAATAAAGTAGTACTCATTCTCGTACAAATATAAACATTCATTTCGAAATACGTAGTACTCATTCTGGAAAAGGTAGTACTCATTTTAAAATAAAGAAGTATTCATTTTTACATATTTGTCTAATATAATTATAATAAATAGCACATTGTTTCTTCTTAAAAAAACAATACTCATTCTCAAATAAGGAAATGTTCATTCTGAAATAAAGTATTGTTTAATTTTTTCACAATTAAAGTATTGAGAAAACATGGTGAGCTTTGCTTTATACTCTGGTGAGCTTTGCAGTTGTCTTTGGTGAGCTTTGTAGTGGCTCTTGGTGAGCTTTACCTCATCTGACCGTAACTTGTCATCTCACCTTAAAGTGTCATCTCACTAGAGTCAATCCCTATACGAAAATATGTCATATGTAGAAAAATCATAGAAATATAAATGCAAATAAATTACTAGTCGATTACATTTATTTTTTTAACTATTAATTAAACATTCTAGTCATATTAATATAAACTTTAAAAAAATCTAAGAATATGAACACCAATAGCTAATCCTAATATGGAATTATATTAACATTAAAAATTGATACGAGTGATTAACATATTTACATAAAAAATACTTTGATATTATAATGAAAATGAAAATATTATACCAAAAAACATAAATTCTTCGTAATTTATTTTACATACGATGTCTTTGGAAGTATTTAGAATCTTCCAAATGTTTATTGGGCCAAAAGAAATTATAATCTTATAATTACATACGATGTCTTTGGAATTTTATATAAAACTAAACCAAAAGGAGCATTAACCTTCTATTTAGTTTTTGTTTTTGGGTAAAAATCCAACAAAAACCTAAAGCTAACACTACATATTGTTATTGTTTCATCGAGTTAGTGTTTTTCAATTTTTTAATGCTTATAAATTTTGACTTTTATAAACCGAAAAAACCAAATAAAACCGAAATAAAAACCGTATAAAACCGAACCGAATTACGAATGGTTTACATATTTTCTATGCAAAACCGAACTTAACCGCCAATTTACGTTCTGCTTTGTCTTTGGTTTTGGGTGAAAACAGAACAGCCAAAACTGAACCCACCCCTATCAAAAAGCAATATCCTTGATCCGACTCTCGTTGGCCAAGAACGTTGCGTTCAACATGCTGAAGGAGACAACAGCGAAAGGCATTATGGAGCACTATCTAACATGTACGAGAAGTCATCTGCAGCAAATAAAGTGTTTCTAATTAGAGAATTAGTGAACACAAGGATGAAAAATGGCACTTTAGTTGTCGAGCATATCAACAAATTGAATTCGATTTTAGCCAGACTTTTGTCAGTGGGTATTAAGTTCGATGATGAAGTTCATGCTTTACTACTGTTATCGTAATTGCCTAACAGTTGGTCCGAAACTGTTACAACAGCTACCTGTTCAACTTCCATGTTTATTGAGTTTTTATTCTAAAATTGAACCAATTTCAGAAAACAACAAATTAGAAAAAAAAAATTTGGGAAATAAGTTTAGATTTTAACGCAACAATGACAACTGTTAGTCGGAGGACTAAACTAAGCATTATTATCAATTAACAAGTATCATCCTGGTAATTAGAATTAATTAGGGAACCACATAATTATTGAGTACAAGTTTGGGAATTTACTCTTGCAATTCTATCAAAACACAAGGTATATTTTCTGCAAATCAAGGCCAAAGTTTAAATCTGAACGGATGGAGTATAATAAACATAGAATTCAGTTTAATAATCAGAAAAATACCTGGGCGCAGTTTACCGAAATTGTCAGCATCATAAGCACGACGTCCATCGATCGCCATTCTATCCAAAATTAAAAATTTCACAGATACTTATTGACATTCAAACAAATACTACAAACAAGTTGAAATATTTAATCGAAAAAAAGTAAAATAAAATTTGCGGACGATTTGAGCTAAGGGTCCGACGGCACCAGGCCCCCCTGGAATTGCAGGAGAGGGGAGATCGAATAGTAGTTTAAGTACAACAACAACAACAACAAGTTAAAGTTAGATGCAAGCATAACGAATTTGAAGAAAAATTATAAGTGCTATAAAAGTAAGTGTGTCATGTTATTAAAAAGAAAAAAACAGCCAACAACTATAAGAGCAAAAAAGTACAACCTTAACTAGAAGTGGGTTAAAAAAATATATTAAAAATGCTAAAAAATAAAGTGGGTTGCCTCCCAAAAGCCGCTCGGCTTAACATTAATGGCTAGACAAAATTTTCTACTTGCCAATACATATTCACTTAAGTCATGAAGTACTAAGATAAGTTAATTGTGTATATTTAAAACACTCCAAAAAAGTAAAAACATGATATACATCAATAATTCAATCTTGATTTTCATCCCTCAACAGAGGTGATAACGTAATGCTCAATTTAGAAGCAAAAATTAGATTTGAGTAGCAAGTTTAAACCTATAGATCAGATTCCAGAATCAGATTTTCCTGCATTTTTGCACTTTCAGATCAGAAATCAGCATAAAGGGATCAAAATCAGGTTGCGTGAACAAGCTATAAGCTTCTGAAAACAGTTCATATGCAAATTTAGCAATGAAAGTTCATAATTCAGGCATAAAAGCATCTTGTAACACAAAAATCAGATTATCAATCAAGAGAAAAGTTGTTGAATTTTCATAAGAAATGGCAATTCAAATCAGGTTTTGCTTAGAATCAGCATAATATGAATCATAATCAGCATATAAACCTTACGGTATGCTTCAAAATATTGTCCCCAAGCAAGATATATCAATTATATACCCTGAAAAAAGCACAAATCTCTGTCTCAAGGCTTTGGCATTCTATAGATCTTCCAGGATGGGTTCGAACAACCTCTCTCCGGATTCCCTAAACGCAGCGGCCACGGCACTGCACACCGCCGAAGATCAAGATCTATTGGAGAGGAGTACTAAGAAATCAAAAACTATGGAGGACCTAACACAAGTGTTGATGGCAAGGGTTTGGACCCAAACGCCAACAAGAGAGGTGGCGGAGCAATTTCCTATAGCCAAGCTCTTACAGGGGAGACAATTAGAGGGAAGGACAGTGCCAATGTAATAGAGATGGTCTCGGAGGATGAGGACTCGGACATGGAGGAGGAAGAAGACAAAGATAGTCCAGCAATTCGCTTGACCAAAGAAGAGAGAAAAATTAAGAACGCCATGGAGGCAAACACAGATTGTCAAGAGATTATCACCATTTGGCATCCAAAGTCTAAAATGGAGCTGGTAACCCTCACCAATGACTACTTTCTCGTTAAATTTGTATCTATGCATGACTATGAATTTTTCATACATGGGGGTCCATGGATGGTATTGGATCACTATCTTATTGTGAAAGAATGGGTGCCCAACTTCGATCCGTTCACGGATCAAACTGAAAAGATGCTTGTGTGAGTTTGGTTCCATTGCCTACCAGTGAAATACTATGATTACAGTTTCTTTATGAGTGGCAGAAAAGATTGGCAGACTGATAACTATTGATACAACAATAAGTCTTGTTTCTCTAGCGAGGTTTGCAAGGGTGTGTGTTGAAGTGGATATAACCAAGCCCCTTCTATCAAAGTTTAAACTTAGGAGACGCATCAGATGTGTATCGTATGAGGGGCTCCATATGATATGCTTCAATTGTGGAATCTATGGACATGTTGGCGATGGCTGCACGAAGAAGAAGACTACTGAGCAGGCAAACAACCACCAACAGTGGAGGGGAACATAATTTGTGGACACATCGAGCACACACAAGGCCAGAATCAGAACAAGGCAAGCAAGGAGAGTATGAGGCCGGAAGTTGTGGAAAGCTATGGATCCTGGATGGTAGCTTCACGCAACAAAGGAAGGAACAGTAACACACCATCAAGAAAGGATATCAGAGAAAACAGAAATGGAAATAATGGCCAAAGGAACATGATGAAATCAAAACCTGGTGAAGTTAACAGACTTGGCTCAAGGTTTCAGGTGCTGAGTGGGGATGGTGACATGGAAATTGCCAGAGACAGCCTCCAGTGGAGTCACGCAAAGAAAAACAATGGAACAACCAACAATAATCCGTCAAAGAGCAATAAGGGTAAAAGACCTACGGTGCAAGTCAGTGAGAAACAAATCAAGTCCAAAACGATGCTGAAAATGAGTTTGTTACTGCTGCCAAATGGTTGATCAAATGTTATAAGCCTAATATGTTGTGCTTGATAGAGACTAAAATGACAGGCAAGAATGCTGACACTGTTTGTAAAAAGCTGGGATTTGATAACTGGGAGAGAATTGAAGCCGTCGGGTTTAGCGGAGGTATTTGGTCCCCATGGAACGACCTCCTGAAATTTGGTATTATTTATACCAATCTCCAATTTATGTTGCTAGAGGTGAGGAATGGGAATGATGACAAGTGGACCCTCGCAATTGTGCATGCAAACCCCACCCCTAATCTTCGTCAAAAACTTCAGAATGCCCTCAAGAGGGACAATCTCCACCTCACCACACCCTGGATTGCTGCAGGCGGTTATAACTCAGTTAAGAAGAAAGAGGAAGTTAGTAACCCAGAGCACTTTGACACCCACAGGTGTACCAAATTTAATCAATGGATTTTTTATGAAGCTATGATTGATTTGGGATTCACAGGCCAATGCTCTACTTGGAAAAGACTAAAGAGGTAATGAAAAGGTCAGCTTCAAAGATGCCCGTTTAGACAGAGTGTTGTGTTCGATCGACTGGTTTGGTAGAAACATAAAAACGGAGTTACACCACCTTGCCTCTAGTAAATCTGACCATTGCTCGATTTTGATCTCTCTAGGGGATCAAAGTGGTAAATGGATTTAGATATCAAGGGGCTTGGGCTACACACCCTAAATTCATAGAAAAGATTGAGAAAACTTGGAACAAGGACAATGCTTGGAAAAATACTAATGATATGGCTAATGCTTTTGAAGCTTGGAACCATGCCACTTTTGGAATTTCCACCAAAGAAAGAAGAAACTGACCAAGAGACTGGAACGGATCCAATGAGCTTTGGATAACAACCCCCATTCGGGCCTTACCAAACTTAAGAAGAAGCTAAGGAGGGACCTTGATAATACACTACATCAGGAGGAAATTTTCTGGTATCAACAGTCTAGGGAGGAGTGGATCACTTCGAGAGATTTGAACACCAAGTATTACCACACCATTGCTAATATGAAGAAGGCTCAAAGACAGAAAATCCAACTCAAAGCAGATGATGGCTCTTATCCTAGGGAAAAGGACATTGAGAGGATAGCTGCCAATTTTATGATAATCTTTTTACTAAAGAAAGGGAAGTAAATCTTAGTGCTCTCAAAAGGTAAGTTTCCAGCCAAATGGGCCAATAGGATAGAGAAATGGGAAGGAAGTCTACAAACAGATTACAATGGAAGATGTTAAAGCTGCTTTGTTTGATATGGCCCCACTCAATGCCCCCGGATCCGACGGCTTTCATCCAAGCTTCTCTCAAAAAGCCTGGAAAGTGGTTGGGACCTCTGTGCACAAACAGGTTTGTGATTTTCTAAATAATGGTTAACTGGAAGAAGGCATCAATGACACTCTTGTGACCCTCATCCCTAAAATTGTCAGTGCTGAGAGCATGAGTCAGTTCCGACCAATTAGTCTTTGTAACGTGATTTATAAAATAATCATGAAAACTATGACTAATAGAATAAAACCCATCCTCAAACCTTGTTGGGCCTGAACAAAGTAGTTTTGTTCCAAAAAGACAAATTGTGGACAATAATCTCATTTATCAAGAGGTTTTACACACCATTCGCACTGCTCCAAAAGGCAAAAGATATATGATCCTCAAAACTGATCTTGAGAAGGCATATGACAAACTAGACTGGAGTTTTATTGACACACTTGAGGAAACTGGTGAAGATAAAAACTGGGTTCGAAATAATATGACTTGTGTTGAAATGGCTAGACTGAGCATCACTTGGAATAGGCAACAACTTGAGTGGATACTGCCTTCTAGGGGAATTAGGCAAGGGGACTCTATATCTCCTTAGACCTTTGTCCTTTGCATGAAAATAATTAACCATCTCATTAGAGAAGCAACTCAACAAGGGATATGGAAAGGGATTCGCACTTCCAGGTATGGTCCTCTCTTGACCCATCTTTTTTCTCAAATGATATGGTTTTTTTTTGCTGAAGCCTCACATAACCAAATGTTGGTCATTAAAGATTGCCTGGACAAATTTATTCGAGCCTATGGCTAGAGGGTGGGCCTTAATAAGTCTCATCTATTCATGGGAAGTTTCGTTGAGTAAACACCATATTTCCATGTTGGGTCCAATATTTAAGCAATATCTTGAGAAACCTAAATAAACAATACAACTTTCCCCACATGATATATACATTTCAATTTGTTAAGTTGTATATAATTAATGAGTGTGACTATTTATGTAGGGAGTCTTTTATGTACTACAATTGATCTCTTTAATTTTCAAAGAAATAGCTAATGCAATTGCATTTCCACCATTGAGGTAGTAGTAATCCATGTCTAAAGATTTTCTTTTTATTTAATGTGAAACAATGGAAATGGTTTGTTAGAAATATCAAAGCTTCTGTGTAATTCAATCTCACTATTTCAAAATTTGAGCACAAGAGCTAAATAGCGTTCCCATGGAATTGATCTTCAAGTATACTCTTCTGTTGCTTTCTTTTTTACAAGGGTTTTTATCTTTGGTTTTAAAATGTAAGGAGCTTTAGATACACAGCAAATGTATTTTGAATTTCTCTTGTTGTCACATATCATACCACTCAATGATTTCTAATTGTTCGTATATAAGCATGGAACTTGGTTTGTATGAGTATTTCC